ATAAACTCATATATAGTCCTTCATATATATATGAGTTTATTTCTGGGCATTATACTATATATATATATATATATATACAGTTAGTTTATTTCTGGGCATTTCCATTCTAAGTGGAGAACCAAACATCATATAGTTAGTGAATCTTCAACAAGGTGCCAAGAGTACATAATTAGAAAATGATAGTGTTTTGAACACTATTATTGAACAAAGGATGGTGGCAAAATCAGATATTCACATGCACAAAAATTATGAAATTGGATGCATATCTTATATGACATGCAAAAATCAACCCATTGTGAATAAAAGATTAAAACATTATATCTGACTCTATAAAACTCCTAGAAGAAAATATGTGGAAAAAGTTGATGATATTGAACTTGGCAGTGATTTTTTTGGATAAGGCACTAAAAGCACAGGCAACAAAATAAAAAATAACAAGGGAAACTTCATCAAAAGTAAAAAGTTCCTGCACAGTAAAGGAAACAATCAACAAAATAAGAAGACAACCTATGGAGTGTGAGAAAATATTTGAAAACCTAAAGATTTGATATATCCTATACATGGTTAATATGTAAAATATAGCCCATAAAATTCAATAGCAGAAGGCAAGTCATCAGATTAAAAGTAGCAAAGGACCTAAATAAAAATTTTATGAAGAAGAGATATAAATGGCCACCAGTTATATAAAAAGATGCTCAACATCACTGATCAGAGAAATGCATATCAAAATCACAATGAGATATTATGTTACACTTGTTAGAATGGTTATTTTTAAAAAGAAACAAGATAACAAGTGTCGGCGAGAATGTGGAGAAAAAAGAATCATTATACATTTTGATGGGAATATGTTCCAGATATTATGGAAAACAGTATGGACACTCTCCAAAAAATTAAGAAAGAACCACCATATGATCCATCAGTCCCACTTCTGGGTATTAATCCAAAAGAATCATTGGTGGGAATGTAAACTAGCACAACCACTGTGAAAAACTGTAATGATTCCTTCAATGACTAAAAGTAGATCTACCATTTGATCTAGCAATCCCACCGCTGGGTATCTACCCAGAGGAAAAGAAGTCATTACACAAAAAAAAAGATAATTGCGCATGCTTGTTATGGCAGCACAATTTGTAATTGCAAAAATATGGAACCAAATGCCTATCCATCAATGACTGGATAAAGAAAATGTGGTGCGTATATACCAGGAAATACTACTCGGTCATAAAAAGGAATGAAATCATGGCATTTATAGTAACCTGGGTGGAATTGAATACCATTATTCTAAGTGAAGTAACTTAGAAAGGGAAAACCAAACATCGTATATTCTCACTCATTAAGTAGGAGCTAAGTTATGAGGACATGAAGGCATAAAAATGATACAATAGACTTTGGGGACTCAGGGATAAAAGAATATACATTGGGAAGAATGTACACTTCTTGGGTGGTGGAGGCACTAAAATCTTGAAAATCACCACTAAAGAACTTATTGATGTAACCAAACGCCACCTGTTCCCACCCAAAACAACTCTTGGAAATGGAAAGTTTTAGAATAATATTTCATAAGTCTTCTGAACTTTCTTTATCCTGTGTTTTCTTCTTGCCCCTACACCAACCTCCACTGTTTATATATAAAGCAAGTTTTTAAAATCTATCATTTTTCAATGATTAAATATGTCTTTCATACCACGATTACTGCCAGTGGTGCACTTCCAGCTACTAGAAGAATGAATTTTAAGGAACATGGGCAATTTTTAGTTGCAGGCATAAACACACTAATTCCCTAGACTCCCTGAATATAGCAAAATGATGTCAGGTCTGGATAAAATATGGCAAATGCCTTTGCTATGATTTTGTGCAATCTTTAAAAGGTTTTCTTTTTATTTTGTTTAACTAGAAAAGAGTCTCTCTCAACATTTTTTTTTTTTTTGCTGTGAAGTCTACAGAACTTAGACCATTATGTAGCAGGTAAAAAGATTCAATGGATATTTTTTAAGTAAATAAAGTCTGGCTTTTATGGTGTTAATCCAAACAAGTTATTATTACTAAAAGTCACTTCCATGTATTAAAGAAAAAAATGTGGCTGATAAACTCAAATATATTGTGGATCAATGATTTCATAATGATACAGGGGGTGCATTAAAAAAATTCTTTTGTAAGATTTTCTTTATTGATGTCTAGGCAAGTGAAAGCTGGTGATTGGAAGAGGCATGTGAGCAAGAATTATGAACATTAAACTTTTGTAATGAAAAAGAGCAAAAATTTACTCTGTAAGCCACTGACAACAAAGGATTTCTGAAGGGGCTAGAACATATGGGGGCAGGAAATACTAAAGTTAGCAACAGAAGAATTATAGGAGATTTCTGAAACAAGGTATTTGTAAATAAAGAATGAACAAGTACTGAAAATTGAAGATCTAGAAAGAAACACATTCAGAGTTCTAAAATGAAGAGTTTCTTAAAGTTTTTTTCTTTTAATATACCAGAATTGTTCTATTTTCTACATGGACTTGTCATCTATATGAAATGCAAAGAAATATTAAGTTACTTTCTTGTTTTTATGCTTTTCAATAAAAGCTGAGGCCTCACTGGATAAAGAGTATGGCATTTAAAATCAAATTCTGGCGCAGTTGGTTACTTAACTTCTTGGAAACTCAGTTGCCTCCTCTCTAAAGCACAGATACAAACATGAGGTTTACTGAGATGATTAGATACCAGAGTACTCAGCCTAGTGGCTTGGCATGCTATCATCCCTTTCCCTCCTTCCTATTTCCCTCCTAATCACTTTCTTCTCTTTTCTCTCATTCCTTTTTTTCTCTTGCTTGCCCTCTTTGAAGAAAGACAGATTGTTCTGTACTTAGAGGAACTTACAGCACTAAGAATAAATTCAGCATAACAATAATTTATTCTCAATATCCCTCATATTCCCTTGGGTATCCCTTAATAGCGAAGCAAAAGCAATATGTGGCATGATCCCTTTGTAATATTTGGGAGGAGTCAGGATTTATGCCCAAATTTCAAAGAGCCATACAGAAACGACAAAATGCCAAATTAAATAGAGGCAAGCATCATATAGTATAAAGAATGTCTGCGGCCTTGTGAGGAGGCAGAAAGACTGATCCTACCTACCAGTTGCAGTTAAGAGCAGACTACCTTGGGAGGCAGAGACAGTCGATCAAGAGATCGAGACCATCCTGGCCAACATGGTGAAACCCCGTCTCTACTAAAAACACAAAAATTAGCTGGGCATGGTGGTGCATGCCTGTAGTCCCAGCTACTCGGGAGGTTGAAGCAGGAGAATTGCTTGAACCCGGGAGGCGGAGGTTGCAGTGAGCCAAGATCGTGCCACTATATTCCAGCCTGGTGCCTGGCGACGGAACGAAATTCTGTCTCAAAAAAAAAGGAACAGACTACAAGATTAAGGTACTCTTCTTGGGAACACCACTTCTTCTCTTGAAGAATAAGAAAAGCAATTTTTACACAACTCATTTACAGCATCTCTGTATTGGACTATGGTCTCATATGTGCTCCATACTTATAAATAAAATAAGGTAAATTATGTTAAGTAAACAGTCTAACTAGAAAAGGGTATATTCATTTTGAGAGTTTTTTAAAGAATGTAAATTTACTTAATCTGAAATTTCTCGAATTGTACAGAATTGGGAAACAGGATATTTATAAGATTATCACAAAATTAAAACATGCTAGTTGAAAGAAAATTTATGTTTTTTTCTGCTTTATTTTTACTCTCATTACTTCACTTCTGATACCAGGTATGTGGGGTTTTCTTTTCTCCACACCAAGCAGTTCTCCACTTCTCATCTGACATTGACTAGGTGTCCTAATAGATTTAACTCAGTTCTGACACTGTCAGCCTGGAGTTAGTGTCAGATGCCACAGGTTAATGACTCAGCCCTGCAAGACCTCCTCCACTTCAGATAGCAATTGCAAGTCCAGGTTCTCACCCGTGACTGTGGCTAGAAATTGAAGGTTCTCATTTCCCTCTCATGTTCAGTAATTTGCCATAATGGCTCACAGAACTAAGGAAAACAATGTTACTTGCCAGAATATTAGTTATTAAAGAATACAACTCAAAAACAGCCAGATGGAAGAGAGGCAGAGGGCAAAGTATGGCTCTCCCATGCCCCCTCCACATGGCCACCCTCCCAGCACCTCCACGTCTTCAGCAACCAGAAGCTCACCAAACGCTTTTGGTTAGGGTTTTCATGGAGGGCTCATTAATAGTCATTGTTGATTAAGTCATTGGCCATTAACAATTAACTCAACCTCCAGTCCCTCACCCCTTTCTGAAGGTCAGGGGTGAAGAGAGGTGGAGAGAGAGAAGGTTGTAACCCTTTAATCACATGCTTGGGTCCCCTGGCAACCAGTCCTTGCTACAGGACAAAAGAAGGCTTAAGCGGAGACCAAATACATATTTCTTCTCATGTAACACCAGTAAAGAAAGGAGAACATAAAACATAATCCTAGAGAGATGAGACAATTTTAATATTAATTTCTGTCCTTCCTTCAAACCCCATATTATTGTCCAAAGAGTATCAACTTAAAATTAAACTTTCATCCCTAGGGAAACTCCTGCTAGCTTAAGAAAAACGTAATTGAAAATGAAAAATACGACTTTGTTTTTTGTTAGTTTCCTATCTCTGCTATAAAAAGACTTGAATATTTCATTAGAGTTCCCACCCCAAGGGTGTATCATACTTCTTCTTAGGGGATGTTGTAGCTGTCACAGTGTTTATATCTAGTGGAATATTAAAATATATGAAGGTAATTATCATGTTTGGAAACATCTTGGTTGAGTCTGAGATCTCTCAAAATATGCAGAAACCCAGTGCATCGACATCCCATTTTTGGCAAGAATTGAAATACACATCCGTAGACCTTCTCTGCCAATCTACACTAGTAGTTAGAATATTTGTTTTTTTACCCCAAACAACTGTAAGCATGCAGCAAGAATTAAATATACAGCTTTCATTCACATAACTTTTATTTCATGCTTCCTGCTTTACTATTCAAGCATGTACAAAAATTGTTTTGGAGCCTAAATGCTGTGGCCTATGTGTTAGCTCTCCATGCGGCATTGTAACAGAATCCTATGTCCTCTATAAAACCACAGATACTGCATATACACACAAGGTTAAAAAAAAGGGGTTACTCAAAAGATCAGGGGACCCACAAAAACAGATGTTCTGGCTTAGGGATCAACATTTAACTTGTTGGTATTACAACACTATTTTGTCATCTGGATCCAAATACAAATCACGGCAGTGTCAACACTTAGTTAATATTCTAGGGGTAGATGAACCAGCAGCATGCGGCATCTGGTTAGCTTTGAGAGAAGCTAGCAGCTTGACTTCTCATTAATTGGGTATGGCTTGGCTTGCCACAGGGCTGGGAGGCATTCTTAAAGCTGAGTTACCCTTGTAACAAATGCCAGATGCCAGGCTGGATTTATAAACATGCACCAGGTTTCAAATAAATCTGGTCAAACTTGAAAATATTAATGTGCTTTATTGGAAACTCTGTGTTCAACTTATTTTGCTTTCCAAAACTTCACACACGCAGCTTCAGGAATGAATTCCTGGGACTCTGGAGTGGGAGAGTGGAAGGAGAGCTAGGGACAGAGGTGAGGGTGTGATTTGACAAGAATGGACCTGGTGGATGCAAGGCAAAGAAGCTGGAGTACAAAGAGGGAGCATTTCTATTTTTTTTAAAGACTTTGGGGTCCTAATGGATCATTTTTATCAAATAAAAAGCGTTATCTCCTATTTCTCAGTGGTAAGCAGTAGGGAGTTGGGAGCTATGAAGCATGAATTGTAGACTTTGCTTTTTTACAAAAGATGTGAGCATTCTACCTTTTTGGGCCTCAGCATTACCACATGCAAAATGAATGTAGTAATTCTTACCCTACCTATAGCGCAAAAATTTTAATGAATAAACTAAGGAGAAAAAACTGTGCAAGTTTTATCACTCTGAAGTTTCTCTGGAATGTTTCAGTGATGCAGTTGTATTCTCTATAAATATCTACTTGATTCCATTGTTATATATGTTTTGAAATATTATTTAAATTGTTGTCTTTTGATTTAAAATTGTTACTAAGACGGGATAATGTTTGAAATCATCACTGAATTGAGTATATGCATCCTGTGCTTTATTTTACCTTTTTCTTTTCTATCTTTCTTTGAGACAAGCTCTTACTCTGTTGCCCAGCTAGAGTGCAGTGACCTGATCACAGCTCGCTGCAGCCTTGACCTCCAGGCCTCAAGTGATCCTCCTGCCTCAGCTTCCTGAGTAGCAGGAACTACAGGTTCATGCCACCATGTCTGGTTAATTTTTGTAATTTTTTTAGAGACAGGGTTTTGTCATGTTGGTTTTGAACTAAACTGATCTGAAACTTCTAGACTTGAGCAATCCGCCCCCCTTGACCTCTCAAATTGCTGGGATGAGGCACCGTACCCAGTCTGGTTTTTCATACATGGAAATAACAAAATAAACATTTCAAATGGAAATTTATTATACTAAAAAAGAGATTATATATTTGTAAATAAAATTCTTCCTCAGAACATAATACATTGATTATTTCATATATGTTATAGTATTTTAAGACATAAACTAAACTAGGCTTAAATTCTGATTTTGCAGTTTGTGGTTGGATGACACTGAGAAAGTCATTAAGTACTCTATACCTCTGTCTTCATTTCTGTAAAACAGGGATATGTTTTGAAGTTAAAAAGACATGATGCATGGAAAATATTTAGTATAGTTCCCAGCTTTATAGAAAGCACACTAAGAATGTTAGCTGATAATACTGATTGTTTCTTATAAGTCCGATGAGCAACTGAGGCAGGATGTTTAAATACATTTAATGCAAGCCACAAAATTAGTGGCAGAGCTAGGATTTGGACCTCAGTGGTTTGTTTTAGAATAGCCTGCTTTTAATGATTTTGCTCCTATACTAAGTTACTCTTATATTAAAGTCTTCTTACAAATACATTTTTAGAAGTGCATTCAATACCCACCACATTCAATTCTGGCTAATAGACATATTGTACCACTTCCTTTCTGAAAATAATTAGGATACATTCTTTCCAAATAAGCAGAGATTGAATAAGATATATAATCAGCATGATGACTTTGATGCTGATTATATATGAAAAGACAAAGAGACATGATAAATATTTAAATTTAAGGTTTACCTATTCTGTTCATCCTTTCTACTTAACACTATGCTTTCAGGTTATAAAGATGAGTAGCGCATGGTCACTGTATGAAGTTTAGTGTGCTTGGGGACACAGAATGAGAATCAGTGACTTTCCAGTACACCCACTGTTCTGATGGTGCTGTCACGGAATTTCAGAGAAGAGACACTTGAGTCAGTGTCATTATGGCGTTGGGGAGGGGCCCAGAAATACTCAAAATCAGAGGATGCTTGAGCTGAGTCTCAGTGGTCAAAAGGGGTGGGGAAGAGTTCCATGCAAAGAAACTGGGAAGCCAAGGTGTAAAGGCCTGAAAAAGTCTGGCAAATTCAGGAGTATGAGTGTGTGTCAGGATGACTGGTAGGTAGTAGAAGTGAAAAACAAAACAAATAAATGAAAAAATAAACAGAAGCAATAAGGATGTTTTTGCTGTCATCCAGGTAAAAAAGGGATGATGGCATGAACTAAGATGATAGCAGATGGGATAAAAACGAGGTGCAGAAGTAAAGAGAAATTACAACTGGCATGTGAGGAAGCATACTGGAAAATAAACAAACACCACATATTCTCACTCATATGTGGGTGTTGAACAATGAAAACAAATGGACACAGGGAGAGGAACATCACACACTGGGTCCTGTCATGCGGTAGGGTGGGGGATAGGGGAAGGATAGCAGTGGATAGGGGACTAGGGGAGGGATAGCATTAGGAGAAATACCTAATGTAGATGATGGGGTGATGGATGCAGCAAACCACCATGGCACATGCCTACCTATGTAACAAACCTGCACGTTCTGCACATGTACCCCAGAACTTAAAGTATAATAATAATAATAAAGGTGACTCACAAACTTCTGGCTTGGGCAACTCAAGACACAACCTGCACCTTAGTACCTTTTAGGCATTTTTTTTCTAATTTATGTATCTCCATAATTGGTTGGTGCCTAAAATTTGAACAAAAAAAATGTACTGTGTCTTAAGACAGTTTCCAAGAAAATGTGTATCACTAGGTATCAGGTTCAGAAATCTGAGTAACACCTTACTTCATCTATCTACTCCCAGGCATATTAGTGATTTTCTTTTTGCTTTAAAATTCAATTCCATCATTCTTTCTATATAAAAACATCCAAACAAAATGTGATGTTTGAGATTAAAAACTAATTTTTTTGAATACTAAGTACTGAATTTAAAACACTTAGGTACATACCTTCAGATTGGCATAATGAAATACTTTCACTTAATCTTAGTTTACTTCTCTGGGCCTCAGTTTCCTCATTTGTAAAGTGAGTATGTGTTGGTCTAGAATTTTGTTCTTAATTATTGGGTCATACAGAACTCTTTGAGAATGTTAATAAAGATAAGAGGAGTGTGGCTAGACAAATGCACAGACAAAATCAATAGGGATTTTGTTGCTGTAATCCATCCCAGTAAAAATAGTGATGACCTGGATCATCTACAGGAATGATCATACCTATGTAGCAATGAACGCCGCCCAACTTTAGAAGGGTCTCTGGATCCTTTCTGAAGTCTGTTCATGAATGCCCAAATAAAAACCCCAGCACTAGATGATCTACGAGGTCCTTCCTAGCAATCTACACATATTTAAAGACAGGAAATAAAGGAATAAGGAAACAGACACAAAAAGACTAGAGGAAACTATGGCCTATTCCTATCTTACTAAAATCACTTACCTTGAACAGTACACTACATCTTAATGCAAACTATACAATTAGGTTAATGTAAGTCTTTGTAGCTTGACCAGTTGAATAATGTGCCTGTTTCTATAAATTATCTCTTAAGGTGAAAATCTATCTTGATATATCTAAAGTAAAAGATAGTGAAGCCAAATCAAATAAAACCACCAAACCAAAACAATTTTTTCTTTTCTTCGACAAAGGAAAATTCCTTTTCTTCACATGGATATTTATGTTGCCTTAAGAACATTTCTGATAGAAGTATCTGAAAATATCTGGGACAGTTTGGACTGTAAAGATACACATTCAGGCTGTGCTGTGTATATGTTTGATGTACAAGGAAAGATACTGAAAAGCGCTTTCATATTTTGTTTTCAGACTTGATTAATCTGTCCTTATGCATTTTTTTAGTTACAAATTATAATTGTACCTGTCAGGTTGGAAAGATTTTCCACTTGTGAAAATGTAAGGCTAGAGGATTTTGGGTTTAAATGCCTTACATGTAAACTTATGTTTTCTTCATTGCTTAGCAAAATAACAACGTGTGTTTACTTTCCTCTCCAAAGCATCCAGCTATGAATCATTTTTCCAACTTGGGAATTTTCAAATTGAGTCACTTTTAAACAACCCATATCAAGTTCTTATTTGGTTATTTCTTTGGTAGACTAAAGTTATAATCCTCTCTCTAAGTCTAAAGTTAGTTGCAACGTTGATATGATATTTGACTCTTGAATAAATATCATAAACAAGTACAGTGACCGAATTATGTATGAATTTCACAAGTTATATTTAGTACGGGTTTCCACCAACTGTTTTAGTAAGTTCAGTACACTGTGGTTTTATTACAAGTGGAAAATGCACTTGGTTCCTTAGGATTCCCAGGATTTAAAACAGTAAATCAACAAAACAAACAAACAAGAAAAATCACATTATTTTTGAGAAAGAAATAATACGTATAACATTACAAAAAACAAAAATAAAAAAACTATTTTATATTCAGTTATTCTAGTTTCAAGTACAAAAATAAGCCATATGATTCATTAAAACTTTTTTTATTCTGAACTTGACTTGTGTGGCTTTGCAGAGTGGCAAAGGTAATGCTTTGCAAACATCTGAATACAATCATTGTTTGGAAGGTATCAACTTAGTGGCTAAGACACTAAGGTTTGAATTCATCTCTGTGGAGTCAGACAGAGATGGATTCAATTATTGATTCCATCTCTTGCTGACTCAGTTTCTGAAAGAGGACAAAGAACAGATTACTTATTCTGAATCTAAATTTTCTTTTCTTTTTTTTTTTTTTTCCAGAAACAGGCTGTTGCCCAGGTTGAAGTGCAGTGGTGAGGTCACAGTTCTGGGCTCAAGCGATCCTCCTGCCTCAGTTTCCTGAGTAGCTGGAACTACAGGTGTATGCCACCATGCCAGCTAATATTTTTATTTTATGTAAAGACAGTTTCTTGCTAAGTTGCCCAGGTTGGCCTTGAATTCCTGTCCTCAAGCAATCCTCCTGCCTTGGCCTCCCAAAGTGCTTGGATTACTGGAGTGAGCCACTGCACCCAGGCCCAATTTTCTTAACTGCAAAGTGAAAATAATAATTTTCCTTCATCATAAGATTGTTTAAAATATGACGTGAAATCATGTGTATCACACTGTTTTAATGTATCTATGTGACTTTAGTATTGCTGAAACAGTCTCTGTTTTCCTCCTCCCACCTCCCTCCCATTTGGAAGTAAACTCTATACACAGAGGCATTTTATCTAGATCACCATTGCATTTCTTAGAACAGGATTTGGCATATCACAAGTATTTTATAAATTGTGAACCGGTGAATGAACCTTGAATACCACACTGAAAGAATTTTCTATTATTTTCTGTAGCAATGAGAGCGACTAAAAGTTTCTAAGTGTGTGTAGGGTTAGGGAGTAGTAGCAAAATAAGATAGTAAAAAATATAAATCTAACAATATATGTAATAGACGGTAGGGAGATAGGGTGGCGATCAACAGCTTAAGGAGGAATATGTGCTTAGAACTAATTTCATACAAATTTAAAAAATAAAAGTGAGTTTCAAAAATCTTCACCCTAAAATAACTAGCTCCCCATGAAAAGTCATGCCTTTCTGGTCCTGATAGTTTTCAGTGATCTCACCATTACTAAAATCTCTCTCCAAGATCTCACCTCCAGTCCTTTCTTACACATTAGAAAGGAAAATTGTTGCATGGGAAAAGCATGACTTGTGCTGCGTAGAGGTTTGCATGGATTCACCATTCTTCCCACTTAAGAGAAATAGGAGAAATGCTGAAATGGCATTTATCTAGGCATACTGATTCATCTCCCTTTTGAAATTTGCACACCCATTCTGTTCCAGAATGGTCCTTATTGATTTGGATTTATATGATCAAAGGATGAAGGGCCATGTCCTGCCTTGCTCATGCTCTGAGCCAAAAGTGAAGTGCCCTTGAGATTTCAACAGAGGCTCTGAATTTTGAGAAGTATGTCACATTCAGGACTGTGCTTTAGCTGGCCTAGAGTTAGAACCTGAGCAATGTCATTTTATACAAGATAAAGCTGTTTTTCCAAAAATAAGTTGTAACTGCTGCCCCATTCTCCTTGCAGTAACTGCTGACCTTGGCTTCTGTAAATAAAAACAGCTAGCTTGCTCTGAAAAATGCCCACTATGTAAGCTACTTGCCTTTGCTTATCAGTAACTTCCAGAATAAGCTTCTGTAAAGTTGCTTACCCTGCATCCCCTCACCCTCTTGGTCCTAAAAGCAGTATGTGGTTTTTAGCTTAAAAACCCTGCTTTCCCTGAGCTCGGGGCCATGGGTTGGAGAGACATGAGTCCTCCGTGGCTGCTGGCAATAAAGACCCTGCAATTTGGCATACTTTTGTCTTGGTGTTGATTTTTATATTTGATCTGATATTACATTTTGGAGGCCCCAGCGAGATATTATTATTTATATTCCTCCATCACCTGGACAAAAGCCCTTAGAACCTCACCCGGGCAGCTGCTCCTGCCTTGGGGATCTCTGTGGGAGGTGTCCCCTGATGATGTTCCAGGGCCCCAGAGTTCTGGCCCCGTGATGTGCAAGCAACCACTTGGCCAACATTCACCCCAAATTCCTTCAGGGTCCTGGAAACCTCTGGAGGTAAGTCCATTTTGGGTCTGAAATCTGGGGACCGGTCCATCTGTGTCTGTAGCCTGAGTCAGGGGACTGAACACAGTCATTGCAACTCTGACCAGGCAAGCCTTCCCGAGACATCGTCCGAGGCTCTGGTATTTCTGTAACCTCTGATTGTGCGGAGGCTCTGGTATTTCTGTCACCTCTGATTGTGCGGAGGGTCTGGTGTTTCTGTAACCTCTGATTGTGTGGAGGCCCTGGTATTAGTTTTTCATTGTTTTCCATAACCTCTGTGTGAGTGAGAGGGTGAGTGTGTATATATGTAGTCCCATGGCTGGAAAGCTACAGGGCTTGTGTGGGCCTTCACCCGTGGTTCCATGGGAGCGTCATAAGGCATAATGGTGATTCACCTCAGGACTGAAAATTCTGAGATGACCAGGCCCGGGGTTTATACAGGTACATCTTAGCCAAGACACTCTAAAAGATCCCTCCGGGGATGTGGCCTGGCAGGCATCAGGCATCAGACTGGTCTCTCATCTGGGGGACACCCATCCTTTGTCTGTCAATCCTATATGTGGTTCTGTCTTTACTGTAAATTTACCAGTTTTGTTAGACTCCTGTTGGCTGATATACAGTGGTTTAGACCTGCTTCCCTTGGAGTGGAGGATATTCTACAGTGGGTAACAGACCACTGGCTACTTTGAATTGACCTTTACTGAATTCATGCCCCTAGAAGTAACTCTGTTCTCCTTCATTCTCCTGTTCTTCTTCTACTACTGAGGCCTCACTTCCTCTGATTCTGCCATGTGGCAAATAGCTCTAGTCCTATCTCTTTTTGTTTTCTTTCTTATTATAATCATTGCAGCCTGTAGGTTTTCTCAGCACCCCCTCCAGGACAGGAGTATTTCTGCCAGTGTTGGTTATAATTTTCTTTCCTCTCACCAGCCACCTACTCCTCCCCCCACCTTTTCAGGACACTCCTTCCCTTTTCTGATGTCCAAAAGGAAATTCTGCCTGCTATGACTTGGGTGTAGTTTTTTTTCTCTGTCCTGGGAAATCAACTCCTAGACAGAAAAGTGCCAACTCTTCTCAGTCGGTTGGGGTGGAAACAAAATAATTGCCTGTTCTGTCAAAAGGACATTACGTGTTCTTATGGCCAGTGGTCTGAAGCCCACCCTATTCAGTTTTTTTAGCACCACCTTGACTGTTGGGAGGTGGGGTGTCACAGCTTAATAAGAACAGACTGGCAGATCTCTTGCCAATATTATGCTGTGGTGGATAAAAAATTCACACACTGTGGACCTCCTAGTTCATTTGTTTTGCCATCTTCCAGCTTTCCCAAGGCCACTAGATGCCAGGTGTCATTTAAGAGAAGACCACACCCGAGCAGCACTAAACCTATACAAGGCCTACTACCGGCCCCTCTGGGGCTTCTTAGGGGAATCCTATCTGCACTCTTGACCCCTTCTACCTGTTCCCCTGGCTCATACAAAAATAGAGAGAGAGGAGGGAAAGAGGAATTTAATGTCTTTTAGGGTCCCTGTATCAAGGTGACCAAAAGCCACAGGAGCAAGAAACTTGCAGCCGGCCCAGCGACTGCGAGCTTAGTTTTAAACTGACAGGAAAAGCATTTTTTTTCCCCTTCCGCTGCTGGCTGCCAGTCCTGCCCAGCTTTCAGGCAGGCCACACCACCTCAGGTTGCAAGATTTGCATCAAGATTTTACTTAAGCTTTCTGTTTGCCCTTACTGCAAGTGACCTGTTAGCACAGTAGAAAAGGGATAAGGCCTGCAACTACAAGGTTTCTGGTTCAAATCCTCAGTGGAACCAGTCTCAAATAAACCTCTTGGAAAAATTCAGAAGCTGAAAGCTATAGAACCTTGTGTTTAGTGTAATTTGTCTTGCTTAGAATTGGCTCTCTCTACAGTGGACCTTTTCTATCTAAAAATCATAGTCAAACCATTTCCAGGCCCAGAGAAAGAAAAAAAAGACCCAAATGGGGTCGTCTAGCCCCCAGCCTTGCACCCCCCTCCAATGTATAGTGGCCAGCTTCAAGGTTGGGTTTTCAGGCCAATATGGTGTGAAATTAACACCTGAAAAACTCCGCTTTTTATGTGAACTAGAATGGCCATCTTTTGGAGTTGGGTGGCCTGACACTGGGACCTACAATCCAAAAATTACCCAGGCAGTATGGAAAATGGTTGCAGGAACCCCTGGACACCCTGATCAGTTTCCATACACTGAACAATTGTTGGACTTAGTCCAACGATCCCCTCCATGGCTGAAATGCTGCATAAAACAGGCTAGACTTCAGGTTATGTTAGCTGGCCCTAAAAAGGTCCCTACAGCACTGGCCTCAGCAGAGGATCAAGAGTTATCTCCACCATACTTTACACCCTCTGGACAGGGGTCCTGGCAGCCCTCTTCAGACAGTACTGGCAGCCAACCCTTACCCTCTGGACAGGGGTCCCAGCTCCCCTCTCCAGACAACACCAGTAGCTAGCCCTTGTCCCCACTCCACACCCATAGCGGGGCTCCACAACCACCCAGGGTATTACCCCCCTGGGAGGGGCCCACAGTGGAAGGTGGTAGCCGGAATGCCCCTTCTTTGTCCACATCCCCTTCTCCTCTAGTGATTTATACAATTGGAAGGCTCAACACCCTCCATTTTCTGAAAAGCCCCAGGCACTCACAGGGCTCCTGGAGTCTGTTTTGCAAACTCCCCGCCCCACCTGGGATGACTCTCAACAGTTACTCCTAGTACTGTTTACTACAGAAGAGAGGAGCAGAATTAGACAGGAGGCCCATAAGGCCATCATTGGAACAGGTGGGGGGCTTGGCGGAGGACCACCAGGAACAAATTAGTGAAATTTTCCCTTCCACCTGACCCCAGTGGGACCCAAACACCTTGGCGGGCCTACAGGCTTTGAACAATTTTCACCTGTACCTACTAGAAGGGGTTAGGGGAGCAGCCTGAAAGCCCACGAACCTCTCCAAGGTAGGGACTGTAACTCAGGGCCCACAGGAGTTGCCAGCTGACTTCCTTGAGCGTCTACAAGATGCTTATCGCACCTACACCCCTATTGACTCTGAGGCTCCAGAAAATCAGCGGGCCATCAATCTGGCTTTCATTTCCCAGTCAGCCCCAGATATCAAAAAAAAAAAAGTTACAGAAGTTAGAGGGATTCCAGGGAATGAATTTGACCCAATTGCTGGAAATTGCCAAGAAGGTCTTTAATAATAGAGACACTTCAAAAGCCATACAGGATAAAAAAGTTACTAAAGCAGTAATAGCAGCTCTTCAGGAAACCTGAGGTATCCCACAGGGAGAGGGAACCTCATATGGGAGCCCCTGAGGTCCCCGGCCCAAGCTAGGACACAACCAATGTGCATACTGCCAACAGGAAGGTCACTGGAGGAGGGAGTGCCCGGAGAGGAGAAGGCAAGAGACAGCACAAGGAAAGCCACCAAGGGCCATTCTCAATTTAGAAAGCCAGGATTGACAGGGCCGGGGCTCTCATTTATTAAGCCCCCAGGAGCCCAGGGTCATTTAAAGATTGGGGGCACACCTGTCAGCTTCTTAGTCAACACAAGGGCAGCCCACTCAGTCCTTACTCAGCCCCTGGGACCACTATCCAGTAGGAGAATAATTATTCAGGGGGCCACAGGAAAAACCACAACAAGCCCTTGGACCACCAACCGACTCATTGATCTGGGGAACGGTACTGTCACCCACTCCTTTTTAGTTACTCCAGAGTGTCCATACCCACTCCTAGGACGGGATCTACTCCACAAACTTCAAGCAAATATTTCTTTCTGTGAGAGTCAGGTTTGCCTCTCAATTCCTCCTCCCTTGGCATCAGGGCCACCTCAGCAAATCCTCATCACCTGTGCTCTGTCAGACGAGTATCTCTTGCAGGAAGCTTTATCCTCAGAGGCAGATCAACCACCAACATCAGACCTCCTCCACCAGTTCCAAGAGAATGTACCTGGAGTGTGGGTGGAGACAAATTCCCCAGGCTTGGCAAGTCACCGTATCCAAGTCATGGTCCAGCTATTGGCAACGGCAACTCCAGTCCAGGTACGACAATATCCCAAGAGCCAGGAAACCAGACGGGGAATTGCTCTGCACATCACCAGACTCCTAAAAGGAAGGATCCTTACTACCTGTAAGTCCCCCTGGAATACCCCCTTACTCCCCGTCTTAAAACCAGGCACGAAGGACTATCGGCCTGTACAGGACTTGAGGGAGGTAAACAAATGAGTGGAAACTGTCCACCCTATGGTTCCAAATCCGTACACCCTCCTGAGTCTCATGGGCACAGAACACCACCATTACACTGTCTTGGATCTCAAGAATGCATTATTTTGCATCCCACTGGCCCCTGTTAGCCAGTCCATATTTGCTTTTGAGTGGACTGACCCCAATACTAGGGTCTCGGGGCAACTCACTTGGACAAGACTGCCTCAGGGGTTTAAAAACTCCCCCACTCTGATGAGGCACTTAGCCAAGATCTTGCTGCCTTCCGAGCTGAGTTCCCAGGGCATACCCTACTCCAATATGTGGATGACTTACTCTTGGCTACAAAAACCCAGGAGGCCTGTAAAGAGACCACCCAGACATTATTAAAAACCCTGCAGACTTTGGGTTACTGGATCTCAGCTAAAAAGGCCCAACTCTGCCAACTGAAAGTTACTTACCTGGGCTATATTGTAGAGAAGGGCAACCGGGCACTGGCACCCAGCCGAGTCCAAGCAGTGCTGCAAATAGCCACCCCCACCATGAAACGCCAAGTTCAAGAATTCCTTGGGGCAGTAGGGAACTGCAGGCTATGGATTTTGGGATTTGCTGAGATAGCCAAGCCCCTGTATGCCTGCACTGGAGGAAATCAGCCCTTGACATGGACAGAGATAGAGCAATGGGCTTTTGACAAGCTCAAGGCTGCCCTGACTGCAGCCCCAGCCTTGGCCTTGCCAGACATCTCTAAACTCTTCCAGTTGTTTGTGCATGAAAAACAGGGAGTCGCTAAGGGGTTGCTCACCCAGACATTGGGACTATGGTCCCGGCCAGTCGCCTACCTTTCAAAAAGACTGGATCCCGTAGCCTCTGGGTGGCCAGCTTGTTTGAGGTCGGTGGCAGCTACAGCCCTGTTAGTCAAGGAGGTGGACAAACTAACCTTGGAGCAGGAGTTAAACTTAGTGGCACCCCACGTGGTGGAGTCACTACTCCGTGGAGCTCCGCGAAAGTGGATGTCAAATGCCCGCATAGTTGAATATCAGGCCTTACTTTT